GATCGATCAAGGCAGATTCAGCCCGGGGGCTAAGCGCAATGCCCACCCGGCTTGACCGACATTTAAAGCCGTTTCATCTCCGGACAAACGCAATGGGAGGATACCGCTAGTGTCGCATGTCAGGGATCGGAGCGGGATAACAAAACTCGAATCTTGCAAGCTATTTTCCGGCAAGCAGCAGATATCAGTTAATAGCGTCTCCCGTGCCGGGGCAAGTGCTGCCTGTTCGCCAACTTACAACAAAGTGCGCACATTGAGACATGTCAGTCTTAGGGCAGATCTATGGCTCTAAATAAATGCAGATAAACTGACGTTCGTTTAGCTGGACATAAACTTATCGACTAGACCGGAGCGACGCCTTGCGATTGCGTGTAAGTCTAAGCTCAATGATAAACGTTTACTGAACAAAGGTGCAGGACGGCCAAGAGTTGTGAGGTTGCAATTAGAGGGGATTAAAGTGCACTTGGAACGGCATGATATATATATGCCGGCGGAAGAGCCTATCGTGCGCTGACGCTGGTGATGGCTAGATCCTGACAGATGATCTCCCCGCGGCTGCTACCCTTGTGCCATTTGCTCATGTCCTGGGCGCCTCCTCGTGGCGACCGCTGGGTTGGAGTTGGGTTTCGCCCTTCTCCCTGCTAAGATCCAGGACACCATTCGGCATGAGTCAGTGAACTGACCATGTGCTAGACCCGCTGCATTTCGGGTGTTCATTTAATCGAAGCCTTTGGCTGAGGACCCGAGTCGTTCTCCTGGCAGTATCCTAGTCCATCCTCTTCGGAGGTTAGGAAGTGGTCGATGGCCCTCTTCCCGTAAAACCTAGCCATGGGTTATAAGCTCGCAGCTCGATTGGCGTAGAGCACGAGTGCCACACATTGTCTCTGACGGTGGGAGGACACCTCCGGGTGTTCAATGGTTTGCTTCTGCCCGCCTCAAGCCAGGCGCCCCCTGGTCAAATTGGTGCAAACCCCCAAAACCCACCTGCGTCTGGCCGTAGTCGCAGGTGCGTATCCTACTACGGTCGCAAACATATATAAACCGTTCCATTACCTCCAATTCTGCGTGTGACGGCCGTCAAGCAGATCACAATCTGTCACTGCAATCACATTCCGGAGCTGGATCTGCTCCCCACTGCCTTGTGGGTCAGGCTGTTGAGCCAAAGGCTCCGGGAAGAGTACCTCAAGCAAACCTCTAAACCACCCACTGCCTTGTGGGTCAGGCTATTGAGCCAAAGGCTCCAGGTGGAGTCCCTCACGCAAACCTCCGAAGCACAACGACCATCTCGCGTGCGATTGCCCACCAATGCAATCGTATGCCTGCGCGCAAAGCACTCAGCATCGGGTGTTGGAACGTGCGCACACCACTGGACCGGAACTCCAGCGAGCACCCGGAGCGACGCACTGCACTCGTCGCGATGGAACTGGCGCGCTACCACATCGATATTGCG